TCGTTTCTTCGGTGGTGGTTGGGGGTGGGGGTGGGGGGGGGTGGGGGTAGGGGTGTGGGGGTGGGGGTGTGGGTGGGGGTGTGGGTGTGGGGGGGTGTGGGTGTGGGTGTGGGTGGTGTGGTTGTGGGTGTAGTGAAGAGAATATACACCCGCATCCCACACCCACACCCACACCCATACCCCCACACCCAAACCAACACACACCCACACCGACACCCACACCCACACCCCCACACCCAAACCCACACACACCCACACCCAAACCCACACACACCCACTCCCACACCCACACCCACACCCACACCCACACCCTAGTTAGGCAATCGGAGTAGTTTGATTCATAATCCTTTTTAAAAAAATGAATCTTTTCATTATCGCTATTTATTTTCGAAGAAAGAACAACAGAAAAAAAGCGAAAGGCTTTTTTCCATTTGTTCAAATTGTTAGGTACACTTTAAACGTTCGTCTGCCTTTATATAAGTCGATACAAGCAGTTCAAATAATTAAAAAACTCTTTGAAAAGAAAAGAAGAACAAAATGTAAAAATTTCTATACTCTTCTCAAATAGATAACCTGTTTCAATATCTGCAACAATAAATGACAAAGATTTTATAAAATTAAGAAAAGTGTATTGTTAATAGTAAACTATCGTATCGAATTCTAGTGTTCAGAGTTTGTAGCAGTTCTACTCTAATAATATAGACAATCGTGTCATACCACATGGCAATGTTTAAGATTTCCAATCGTCTATTATTCAATGAATACTCGCCCAAAAAAAAATAACCAAAAATACAGTATATCGGTAGTTTTTTAGTCAAGTGAATTCATTGAGATTAACTTTATCAATTAAGACTATATTGTGTTTAACGTGACGAATAGAACATACCTAAGTAAATATTCTAATATTTCGTCTTGCAACATTGGAAATAGAGTTTGATTATTTTGAAATAGTCAGTTTCTTTACCATATGTTTTGTATCATGTTAGCCAAACAGCTTTTCTCCCAAACAATCTACTAAACACTGCTAGCAAACCGGTTTAGAAGTCTTGTAGGATCTAGAAAAGCTTTGTCAGGATAGTTATGTTTTGATCATAATATTATATGTCAATAGAAAATGAAAATATAAACAATTAATTTCATCTCCATTTTTGACTGTTTTAGATCGACAATTTGTCACAATTCTTATCGAATCTTTACTATAAGTCGGAAAGTTAATAACTTAACTATGGCTTACCAATTTTATGACGATGAATCAATATTCAAACACAATTTACCAAGAACTGAATGGCACCTAAAATATCCTCAGGTCTCACTAGAAATTGCTGTAGAAGCCTTAATTGACATGTTACCAACAATAATGAATCATGTTACAATTGCTAAAGGAATGTGTTCAGATCTACCCGACCGACCAAGTGCTGATCAATCAGCATCTACATATTTATATACTATAGAACCTGTTGGTATTTATAGAAAACTGAATGAGGCAATTGATTGTTGTATTATAAATGTCTTTTCAAAATATGTTAGTGCATTTGATTACATTGTCATTGAATCATGCGTCTCAGTAATTTCCATGCGTGAATTGACTAGATCGATATGATTTTAGATATTTCTATGGTAATTTTTCGTAGAATTTTGAGCGTTTCTTGATACTAACAGAATTCTATTAAAATACTCATTCAGTGATTGATGCTCTGAATCAATATCATTGTATCTTATGATACGATCTGAATCATTTCATTCACATAATTCTCAATCGACTTTGATTCATTTCTTGAAGTGTAAAAATGTAAGTAGGTGATTTGTTTTCTTTACTCACATCCTTCCGACGATATTTATCGCCTTTCTAACAAATGTTCGATTTTAATGTATTAAATATCAAAAACTCTATCCATTTTGTTTTAATTTCGTCGATTAATAATTCTTATTTCACTTGAATAATATTTTACTTCGTTGTTGCCTTTAATCACAAAGAATTGTTTGATATTTCGTAGCACTCTGTTTATATTTTGACAGATAATTAAAGGTATGCAAAACAATATGATATATAAATATAATATCTATGAAACGATACCAAGCTTTTGATATTCTGTATTTTTAGTTCATTATTCACTTATATTTGAAAGAATTTTTATTTTATTTTATCTAGAGAGACTTTTGTTCTGTCCTCCTTGATTACATGTTCCGGCAATTCTTTTTTCTATGTATTCATTTATAATCTAGCTTCTTTACATAATAAATAGGCAGACTAGATGTCAATCTTACTCTCAGTCTTTACAAAGAATGAATGCACTACTCCATATAAACTATTTTTTTTCCTTCAATAGAATCAGAGTACTGAAGCTAAGTAAATTTCTTGTCTGACAGAAATCATCTAGAAAGAAAACGACGAAGTTTTTTATGACTAGTCCTCTAAAACACATAACTTGAGATAATTATTATTCTATGCGTATCTTGTTATAAGAATAATATATTATTTCACACGGATCTTATTATTGAATAAGAAATACCATTCGAATACTTCCACAATAATGTATCTGTTATTTCTAGAAAATTTTAATAATTACTATCTTCAATAGAATGTTATAGTTGCTTTTATAATAAATCACGTTTAAGAATTTTTGTTAGCACGAGAAATTTGTTTTTGATGTTTCAAATATTTTGCTTTGTTTTTTTTTTCGACCTTTACAATCATGCAACAAAAGCGTATTATATCATGATCTTAGGTACGATTTTTTTGTAGCTTTTCACAATTAATAGAATAATTATAAAATATTCGATGGAAATGATATTTCTATTTTGGGTAGTATATGTTTGTTATTGTTTTAAATTCAGGAATATTTAAATGAAAACAATGACATTGAGATTCCTCATTAAAATAGAATATCAATGGCAAAAGAAAAGATATTATATATCAGACATGAAATAACATAGTTGTTTATATTATGTAAAGCGGATTAAGAAATCTTGTTTAGAGAATGATTATAAAGCTTGATACAAGCAATCTTTTCAACGCTCGACATGAAGAACGTAATAGGTAACCAGAATTTAGCATCTTTAATGGATTTAAATGACTTGAGTTCATTTTTTTTTATTTGAACTTCATGATAAGTGAGTTTTCTTTTCAATTTTCAAAGCTTAATTTTCAGATTTAATAACCAAGCAAAGTCAACCTATTTCTCACTGTTTAACTTAACATATTCTATTTTTTTTAATAATATGCATGCAACCATTATTCGATTACGACATGTGAATTTCATCTTCATCATTCAATCAAATTATTTGTTTCATTTTTATTATATGTAGTTTCAAGTCTACGAATCTAATGATTTAAAAATATTATCATTTATTGAGCTGAAAACTATTATTCCTCATGACGGACTTAGATGACTGGAAAAATACTCTTGTCAATGATACTAATAAAGAATTTTCTCAATACTTGTTATCATCAACAATTGATACCACGGAAGTTCTGAGTAGTGATATTGCGAAATATTCTATTGTAATTCCCCTTTCGGTCAGCTTTTCTATCCTTGCTTTCATCATTTGTTGTGTTATCATAGTATTGATTGTCAGCAATCAACGATTACATACTGTTAATCATCTACTGATTGGAAATACTTGTATTTGGTCGATTTTCTACTGTTTTGCTCAATCAAATCAATATGTTTATCTTCTCTTCATTCGATGGGATACAAATGATATGTCTTGTCGATGGCGAGGCTTCTTCGCGTATCTAACTATAACAGGCATTATTTATTCTTTTCTTATTCAAGCTATATCCCGATCGTTCCTCATAGTTTTAGTCCATAAATATCGTTGGATTGTTTCGTTCAAAGCTCACTATGTTCTTCTTTGTATTCAATGGACCGTAGTGCTTCTGTTAAATTTACCATCGATTTTTACTAAAGATATTCAATTTCGTCCACATGCTTTGTGTTGGATCACTCAATCTACCCCGATACATAATATGTATACTTATATTGCATATTATGCCATACCAACTGCATTCATCATCATAATTTATGCGTCTGTTTATTGTCAAGTCAGGCATAGTACTACTGAAGCATTTACAAGACAAGGAAGACATCGACAACAAAATCGTGATTTTGAAGTATTTCGTAACATAATGATTCTATTTGGAATTTATTTATGTGGAGGCATACCAACAACGATCTATATGCATTTGAACATCGATATATTCTATTGGATAGGTATTGTCGCCGTATCAATGACAGTAGCTGTTGAAAAATTCGTAACATTTTATCTGGATCGAGAACTTCTTAATGTATTGAAAAAACGAATTTGTCAAAAAACTACACGTGTCGTACCAGTTATATCTTAAATCTCAATCTATACAAGCAAATATGTGTAACGCGGAATTCGATTGTCGTCTACTGTTGAAGGGTGTGGGGTGGTGTGGGTGTGGGTGTGGGTGTGGATGTGGATGTGGGTGTGAGTGTGGGTGTGGGTGTGGGTGTGAGACAGGAGAAGATCCACATCCAAACACCCACACCCACACCCACACACCCATACTCACACCCACACCCAAAAATATATTTATATAAATTATTTGTGATATATAAGTATAGTAAAACGTAACAAATCATATATATTATCTGTTGAAAATAGAAACGGTTATTTATCTATGAAAATCAATTGATATAGAATTTATTACTGCAATTTATTATCAATGATTATAAGATATATGATCAAAGGCTTTTTAAATAAAAAAGGATTTTAATATTGTTTGAACAAAATTTAAAGTTATTTTATTTGATAAATATAGAAAATTCTAGGAAAACGAAAAAAAAAGAAGACATTTCTATTGTTTATTATTTTCTAATAAATATTTTCGTTTTGAATAAGAATTATCCTAAAAATCGAATGTCATAGAGAAAAGTGAATGTTTTCGAAGTCGAGAAATAGAAACCTATAGAAAAGTTTGTGACAATTCTCGAATGGAGTTTTATCATCCGAGAATGACTTCGAGATGTTTCATAAAATTCAACTATATTTTTTTCAAAAAAAAAACATCTATTCCGATCGAAATAAATATAAGATAAACATCACTGTTGCATATTTATTGATCGGTTAAATGAGCTTTATTTCGAAAAATATTTCATCAAATTTTAAATTTCTTATTTCAAAAAAATTATTTTCATTTTTTTTTATTAGTTATGTCGTAATAATAAAAAATTATTGTTTTTTTGAGTGGTAAATTGCTATTAAATAATGAATTATTCTAAAGATCTCCAAAGCCCTCCCCCCCCCCTTTCATTCATGAAAAAAGGGAGTATATAACTATTTAGTCGAGATTAATCCTCAAGAGCGGGGGCTTTAAAAAAAGGATTGTAAATCTTTTAAGTGATGAGTAATATATAAACGACTATTTGCCGCGTAGGATTACAAAGTGGTTTATTTGTGGTGATAACGCGAATGATGTTTCTTTTTAGCCCCGTAGTCCTCCGTCCATCGAAAAGTGCATGTTTTTTTCTTTTCTAAAATTCAGTTTGAAATTAAAATCCCCATAGACTCCAAAACCCATCGATATCTGCAAGGGAAGCAGAAAAATTTCGGATAGAAACTTACACTCACTATTTTCATAGTGAGTTTCACAAAAACGTCGAATTGATCAGAATTGTATAAAATATGATGTCAATCGGAAGGATCGACAGAATTTATCCTAATATTTAAAGAGTTTTTTTGTGCAAATGGGACTGCGGAAAAGTGTCCACTACGGGAGATTTTAATGTAATAACTTTCTTCCTAGAGACATTTTAAGTAAGGCAGCATATATCCAAACTCACGTTTGCACCCTAGCTCCAAAATCTATCTTTAAATTGAATGTGCTGTATAGAGGCCTTTTCCATATGTTTGCCAAAGTCTTTGGTGGTATAATCTCTATTAGATGACAATGATCATCCTTTAACGACAATACTGTTTCGAACAGGTTCTTCTCATAGAGTAAAGAAGCATACCCTAATACACAGTGACAAAGTTTGCATAACGCCTATTTGCCTCTTCTGAATAGTGCCAAAATAGAAACATGAGATGAATAAACTACTGGAATCTGACAGCTGGTGACAAGATAAATACTTATTGGACCGTGCAAATTATGAAAATACACTTTTTTTCTCCTTCTTTGACATTAAAGCATGATAATATCAACGTTCATTTTACTGAAACTCGCCTGACAAATATTCTCACATCATCTTTTCTCTCAAAACTTGTGTGTCATGGCTTCCAGCCGAAATGAGACATCAACAATTGATGATGAGGATATCGCTATCGCTAGGTCAGTGCGACTATGGCTATTGACTGTTGTGAACAGTCTATCAATTGCATGTTCGCTCTTTCATCTTTACCAGCTGCTTACCAAACGTGTTCTACGAGAAGCATTAAATAATCATTCAATTATTGTTCTTATTTGTATCACACTTATCACTGAAATATTGGATGTTCCGTTCTATATAATCTACCTTTGGCTTGGCTATGTCTGGCCTCAAACACCACTTTTTTGTCTTTTCTGGTGGAATATCTATTTGAAGTGATGATCATGGTTATTGCTGTGGCTTCACTGCAGAGACATGTTCTCATTTTTCATGAGAAATGGTTGTCGACTCCAAAACAACGACTGTTTTTGCATTATATTCCACTTGTAATCTTTCCTATGTATTCAATACTATTTAATGGGCCAGGTCAAATTTTCGTCGCATGTGACTTTCCACTTCCATACTATTACACCCTACCATGGTGTGGTTATTCTGCTTGCTATCAATATGATCCATTTCTTTATGATTGGCAAATGTTTTTTAATTGGATATCTATCACTTTTCTCAGTATTATATCTGATATTGCCTTGATTATACGAGTTATTTGGCATAGACATATTCGTTTAAGACAGTCGATTGTGTGGCGAAAACATCGTAAAATGACAATTCAGTTATTATCTGCTTCAATATTTTGCTCCAGTTTTAATAGCCCTATGCTTATCTATGAGACATTGTCCATTTTTGGAGTTTGGTCCTTTTCCGCTAGTAGTACACTGGGGATGATATATTTTATTGCTTATTTTGTAATGTTATTCCTGCCATTCGTCATGATATTTTCACTTCCCAAAGAATATTGGTGGGATAAATGATGGACGAAATTGCGCGACAGACGACGGCATCAACAACAAATAACACCTGAAATCATAGCTGCACGAAAACCAAACCCCAGATCAGTACGCAATATCTGACGAAAGGTTGCGCACGTATCACGAGGATTGTTTTCAATTTATTATTATACTCAATACATTAAACTATATGCATTTCGTAAGCTGATCACTATCATTTCGTACAATTTTTAGGTACGCTTGTGGTTACCTGCGATTAACAATATTTTAGATGGTTGCTATGATTTTTTCGAAGAGCGTGTTGATCCATGCAGTGTGTTAAGAAGTATTATACATAATTTTTGTCGCCTTAAACTTTTGCGCGCTCTTCTATATGTTGTGATTTCCCTTCTCTACATGTGTGTATTTTCTTCTCGTTCTGTCATATGAATTTTTTCCAAACGCACTGAGATATTACCATATCCATCGTACTGTTCATATACCTATATATAGTAGCTATTTTTTGCAATAAACGGAGTATGTATACCGACTATACTCTTCCTTGGCTATTACCCAGTAGAAGGAATAATTTTTTCGACTTGAATAACTTCACAAGTGTCTCGATGAACATTGATCAATGCATTGACGACGAATTGTTAATATTAGGCTAGACGAGCATCGTAATCCGGTTGTTGTTGGTCGGTGGGTTGTCGTGCTTTGATATCGTCACCCATTTATTTCGTTCGATCACTGTTCGAAGAAATTTTTTGTCGACATACCCTTCTTTCTCTTGGATTATTTATTCATTGATGAGGTTTATTATCTCTACTTTCGATTGTTTGGCTACTTCTATATCGAAACATGATAAATAAAGACATTGAAAAAACAATAGTGAATCATGAGGGCCCTCGTTCTCCACTATTTGATTTAGAATTGAAGCCGTTATCTTAGCTTTGATAGTGATTACTAAGATCGGCAAAACTATCAAGAAAAGAACTGGCAAAAAGGCTAATTTTTATAGCTTGTTTAGTGCACATCACCTACAATATAACGGAAGGTATCTTGTACTGAACGATGTGCACAGATGGTGAACCCTGTGAGGCTATGGTGGAGTTAGCGAGCTTAACTACGTATTGTTGAAAGAACCATCAGATGTTGTTTTCTATGAAAATATTATGCGAATAGAACTGTTAAATCAGTCCTCCTAGCTCCATGATCTCTGACCGTGAGTAACTTCATTCTCCACATTTCATTTAGAAGCGAAGCCGTTTCTCAGTATGAATTGAAATCACCAAGATCTACAAAATTGTCAAGACAAGAGTCTGTAAGAGGGTTGTCTTCTATATGCTATCTAGTATTTGCCATCTTTGATACAAAGAAAGTCACCTGAAAATTAATCATATCCCCCTTCGTTCCCCCGTATTTGATTCAGAATTGCAGGTACTGTTGCAGCATTGATAGTAACCAGTAATTTATGCGGAAGTTTCGCGAGAAGAAAGCTCAAAAATGGTGTATCTTGTTTGTTATCCGAAGGATATTATGCAAAATACACAAGACAATATATGACGTTATTATGCAGCATTTGTGGTGTCCAGTATTTTATGTAAACCTGTAAGAATTTTCTGAAGAATATTTCGGTAAGATGAGGCGTGTAACTATACTGAAATTAATACGAAAAATTTATCTGCTGTAAATGCGTCATCATATGTGCGTAAATGTTAACAGTAACAAGAGTGGTAAGCGATTAACAATTACTTTTCTCAATGAACTGATTTGTGTTACACACGGATGACCTTCTGTTAGATGTTTTTTTCAATCGTTAGTTTAACCAGTAACATATTGATGAGCTAACAAATAAATAGGAGTACAGATGCACTTCAGCTTGCAGAAAAGTAAAGATATTAATAAAGCATCTTAACCGTATAGACATGATTTTTATTTAATTGTAGCAGAGCGCAGCATATTCTCAAGTTTTGCTTCTGGTAGCATAGAGTATAAAGAGAATGCTGGAAATGTGAGCAGCAGTGCACTGGCTAATAGTTAATGGGCAGACAACATGTTTCAATAGTGCTTGAGGGTGGGTGTGGGTGTGAATACTGGATACATTTATAAACCATACCCACACCCACCCACATCAACACCCACAGGGTATGGGTGGGTGTGGGTGTGGGTGTGGGTGTGGGTGTGGATTTAAATAAAGAGACAGCAAACACCCAAACCCACACATGCACGCCCACACCCCACACACACACCCACACCCACACCCTTAATATCAACTGCACATCATAATAAGTGTTGAATATTTTTTTGAGCCTTTTTATTTATATGTTCGTAACATTATATATTATGCATTTCAAAATCAAAGAACTATTTTAATTTGTTTTACTTTTGCTCTTCATTATATTTTCAGATATAAATATACTTTCTTTTCATTTCGTCTGCAAGACTCAACGTATGAAAATCACTCAAGTATATCGTTTTGCGCACATGCTTGTATGTATGCAACTTGATGTGAGCATGTTGTATAAATTTGTTCGCAATACGGTGTATCGTAAGAAAAGTTAAAAGAAAGAAAGAAGAATATGCAAAGTAACGAGCGATAAGAAACGCATAGAAATGCCTTGTTGCAAAGATAAAATATTCCAATCATGCGAGATAGTAAACATTGTTACATATACAACACCAAATCTCTTTAGCATATCCACAACAATAAATTTTCTCCATATTTTGAGGTTTCTTCATTTCGTTGTTCTCAGTAACTGACCAGTCAGACAGACATGAAATAGATCTCACTGATTAACTTTTCTCTTGAGCGATCAATTGATAAATGTTTATTCGGTTAACCTGAATTTGGTCGAAACGTTAAAATGTCGAAAAGGAAAACGCCGAAAAAAAAGACAAAAAAAAATTCGAAAATAAAAATGTCGAATACAAGTAAAACCGAAAATAAAATGTCGAAGCATTAAAATGTCGAAAAATTATTATGTCGAAATATGAAAATGTCGAAATCCGAAAATGTCGAAAAAAAGAATAGAAACATAGTAGAGGAAACTTTATTGTTCTACTGTTGGAATAAAGAATTTATTAAGAATTAAAAATAGAGCAGTTATTAAAAAAAATATAACGAAGACAGAATTACTCAAATAGTGAATAAATGTGCAACTGAAAAATAAAGTGTTGTTATATGTATACATCTTTATTTATTTTCTTTTTCTACAACAGTTGCGAATCCATCTAGAAGTTGAGAAGCATTAATTTGATTACTATTATATCGACTCTATAGACTTTTAATACGTTGTTGAATAGATATCGTTCGAGGATTTTTCTTTCGAGCGGCACCAGCTGACCATTGAATTGATATACATTGTACTCTTTTCTTCATTCTGTAAAAACTTGATCAACAGCCAAATATTGGGATGATTCCTATAAATCCGACTATTCATCCGATTGTGGTACCCTATAAGAAGAAAATAAAAACCTTTTAACTTTTGTTTGGTATTCTTACCCTCGCATACGTTGTTGATGCGCACGTCATATCGAGATACGTTCCATAAATCAATATTAGACAGATAATTATTTTCAAAATATGTTAATAAATATTATATTTTTGAATCATTCTACATCAATATGAAACTTCTGTAATTTCATACTATAAAAATGTTTGCTGTTGACAGTTCTATCTGAACAGTCTGTTTCTCGACATCTTTAATTTTCGATGTTTTTCCTGTTGGGCATTTTTATTTTCGGCCTTGTTACGTTCGACATTCTTATTTTTGACATTTTAGCATCGACATTTTCACTTTCGACATTATTCAGGTGATTCGTTTATTAGTTAGTAGTCCCCTTAATTCACTTTGTTGTGTCTATCTCACAGTTATTTATTAGTTTAATTAACTTTAAGTCGTTGATGATTTCTTCATATTACAAAAATAGTTTGTTTGCTTTTCGAGCAATGCTATAGGGTTAATTCTAATTTGATCGAAAGAAAAAATGTCGAATGGTAAAAATGCCGAAAAATTTCACAAAAAAATATCGAAAGGTAAGAAGATCGAATGATAACAATTTCGAAAAAAAAATGTCGAAACAGCAAAATGCCGAAAATAGAAACCTCGAAAAATAAAATGTCGAAATGTAAAATGATCGGAAGATAAAAATGTCGAAAGTATAGAAAATTTTCTTTGATTGAAGAAAAGTCGTTATATTTATTTTGTTGAAAAGTTCTTAATCATAGAAAAAAAATTATACAAATAATAAAGATAAAATGCTGAAAGACTTTGAATTAGGGAACAAACTTGTATTGATATAAAGTTTATAACTATATTTTATTTCCCATGAGATACGGCAATCCAGCAAGAAGTTGAGAAGAATTAATTACACCATCATTACATCGTTGATACAGAGTACAAATACGTTTTTGTTTTCCTGTTGTTCGTACATTTTGTTTTTTCGATGCACCGGAAGACCACTGAAGAATAATTGTTTGAACATTTTTTTCTTCAGCTTGCATGAATTGAATAAACCGCCATATGTGCGGATGGTTACGGGTGTTTCTGTGACACTTCGCCAATTTCAAGCATTGAAAATATTATGAGAATATATATGTTTTGGAAATTTTTTCGTTTATATTTCTAATATTCGACATTTTTACATTTCAATGTTTTTATAGTTCGACATTTGTATTTTTCGATATTTGTATTTTCTACATTTTTAGCTTCGACATTTCAGCTTCGACATTTTTGCTTTCGACGTTATTAGGGGAAATCTGCTATAGATCATGTTTAGCTAATCTATAGACAAGCGTTGAACTATCAGGGTAATGTAACTTAGATTTTGACATCAAGAGATATTAAAGAAAGTGCTACTAACATAGGAATAAAATTTTCACGCAGATACGAATAAAAGTGCAAAGCTCTATGCCTTACAATAATATCTCAAAGTCAACCTAAAATACTTCTGAACATGCCAGAATAATAAAAATCTGTAACTGACAACGTTTAGGCTATGGTAAAAAATATCAACATGAAGAGTATAGATAGGTATTGATTTTCTTTTAATTCATGCGACAACTACATTCAAGTTCGTTGAAAAACACGACCAAAAGACCGGAAACAACAACGTAGCCAGCAATGTGGAGCAGATTCATCCTGGGAAATAAAAGCGTTTTTACTAGAACCAATTAATTTTTTTCGTACCATATTGAAGAAAATTTCTTCCTGAAAATACCATTTATGTCTCGTGGTAAAGTTCCTGTTACATCATTCTTTTCCTTTCACGAATATTCAAAAAGAATGTGCGTTCGCTTCTCATATTGAAGAGAAAAACTTTAAGAGAACTACGAGTGTTGCTGTTGGTGTTGGTGTGGATGCGAAGTTTTCTATCATTAGAAATGATCCACACGCACACACACTACATCCACACCCAGACCCTATGTAGACAACAGGTCTTGGTCTTTTGCCTTCTCATAATGATGTTTTTTTCTTTGGAATAATTTTCATGAAAGAAAGAATGATCACTTTGGCCGGCTTTTTTGTAGTAATTGTGTAAAACAGCTGTTGGAAAAGCATGAGTCGCTGCTCTTGAAATGGATATTATTCAATGAAACAAAATTAAGGTTACATAAAGGAAAAGCTAGTTGAGTCCTATTATTATCACTCGTATTAATTACATCCCGCCATTAATTTTTCTTCTTTTTTCATCTTCTTTTCGTTTATTTTTTCTTTTCTTTTTTCACCTTTCTTTTTCATATACATTTTTTTTCTTTGCCTTTTCTTAGTCTTTGTATCGCTCTTATACCCACATGAGTAGAGTCGAAAATTCGCATACTGATAATGTGTCAACGTCAGAACATAATGCATGGATATTCTTCCATAGCATTTAAATCTCATAAACTTTCTTTATCGTAACATGTAAGCATCTCTAAGTGTTACATAAACGGCATAATAAAAAAAAAGTTATAGGCACAAAATTATGATTGCCGTAAAAATTGAGTTTGAATATATGTGATATTGATCTTTTTTCATGTAACTTGTCATACTCTATTCAAGCATGACGAAAAAATAAAAATAAACACTAAGGTAAATTTGAAATGTGAGCACATGATAGATTGTAAATATCGCGAAATTCGAATATTTCGATCTGTGTAGACATTGGACGATCTAAATTACAAACTAGTTGGTTTGGTAATGAGAGCATATATTTGATCGAATATGATCAACATCCTTAAGCTACGGTGCATGATTTCTAACTATAAACCATATATTGTTGGTATTGCATTTCTTTACTATGAAATGTCTTTAGAAATCAAGCATGAGTTGATAATTAATAAAAGTGAAGCGTTTTCTACGAGTACGTCTATTTAGCAATCATTTGTTTGCAAAAAATTGACCTTGATACTTAATTTTTGTTTTCAGAGCAAACATTTCGATTTTTTTCTAATTTTGAAAACAAGAATTTCTGATTTCTAAGTTTTTTATCTGACAACCCTAGTTAAGAATGTCCCAGAAAGATAGTTATATCATTGAACAAATTTCATAGCGAGTTTTGTTTATTATGAGATCATTGCCTTGTCGTTTTCTTAGAGAAAGTTTGCAGTGAAAAGGGTAAATTGTGTTCTGAGAATAGTAGTTCTAATTAAAATGAAAAGAGATACCGATCTCGCCAAACCATAACTTTTTAAGGCAAGATCAAATCTATAAATTCTAAAAAAATGAGAGATCTTATTAGTGACTGTTTTTTCATAGAGTATCAACTGATAAGATCGAATTTCAAGTCGGCTATTCGTTACATAAAAACACGTATGAATTTCTGCGTAATCGGAATAATTTTGTTCGTTGTTGTAGAAATGGGAAACACGCGGAGTAAAGAAGAAAAAAAAGAAGCATCAGTTCTTCGTAAACCTCAACAAGGCGAAGCCAGTGATTTTTATTGGGCATGTCGAAATGGTGACCTTGATTCTGTTCGAAAGATCTTTTTTTCAACTGATTTTATTGATATAAATCAACTTGAACCCAATGGAAGTACAGGTTTACATGCAGCTTCCTATATGGGTCATTTTCATGTTGTTCAGTTTCTTCTTCAAAATGGAATTTTCCGACATCGAATAAATCGATATGGTCTGACAGCATATGAAGAGACTCACAATGATGAGATTCGTGAACTGTTTCATCGTCCATCCAAATCACAGCGATTCTCTACCAATAGAATAGAAGATATTCAACGTCTATTTACTTTTCAAATCGAAGAGTTAACAGAAGACGATGATACGCCACCCAATGATTGGATTGAAAAAGGAAGTGAAGAAAGAGACATTGTTTTTGTACGAGCAGGTTTTAATTCTATGAAAACTGTATTAAATTCATCTATTTGGCGACCAATATTGACGACTTTCTTGAAGCGAACTGGATATGATCCTGATCTCGCTGTCAATCTCAACGAAAAAGCAGCTTTACAAAAGATACAACATCTTATCGATGCTTGTGTTACTTCATCACATCCGGATTATAAGAAAGCTTGTGAACTTCTTGCTAAATATGATAAATCCAAGAATGTTCAACATCTTATACGCCTTTATTCACTTGAAACACCATTTTATCAACACTTGGGCAGAGGTACAAGTGCCGATTGTCTATTGTTCCCAATTCTTTTTAAACTCGATACTTTGAAAAATCGTGGTTATCAAGGTTGCTCTTATCGTGGTTTAACAATGACTAAAAAAGATCTTCGAGCATATAAATGGGCATTTAAACATAAGACTAGTATTCTCGTGACCAACAGTTTTTGTTCATCATCCGTTAACAAAAATGTTGCATTGAGTTTCATTGGAAATGTCTCTGAAGAGAAAATTGGAGTTTTAATGGTTTTCAACTTTGCAGAAACATGCGATACAGCTATTCAACTGTTTACTTTATCGAAAGATTTACCTGGAATATCTGATTTCGAAGATGAAAGAGAAGTTCTTATCTTACCATATACACTCTTTCATGTAACGAACATTGATACTGACAAAACTACTATTCAACAAACAATCTATCTTGAAAATATTACGACAAAAGGAGGACTTTTCTCGTTGTATAAAGCTGCTTGGAAGTGTGAGCAGAATTCTAAATAATGATACTTCTAAACAAGGAGATACTGTGCACACAAGCTACTTTTGTACGAAGTAAAATGCTGCCATTTGTATATAACTTTCAATTTGAATAATAACGAGACATGTATGATAGTCTCCATTTAGTTTATTGATGAGTGCTCAAGTAGATCTTCTATCAAAGACATACGTGTGGTTGAGTGTAGGAAAAGGGAGACTTCTTTTGCTCCGACTGCCCATTCACGAACACCGATTCACACGTCGATATCCTATTGATAGTGATATTGGTTACTGTCATTCAGCTCTTAGAGCCTGCTTCGGATCGAATAGTAAAGTTGCATTTAGTTATGGTTATACAACAGTTCGATTTTTATTTTTGTGTAGACAGATCTAATGGCCGATAGATTCGTCAAATTGTCTCGTATCCAATTCCTATTCCAGACAATGATGTCGCTGATAAGTTTAGAATTCAGTTGAGATCGGAATTGTCTTTTATAATTTTGTAATAAAAACATATCGTAAATGCATCGAGAAAAAAAGAATACAGGCTACACAAAAAACTCTGGGACGCTCAAGAATCGCTTCTCAAAATTTTAGATTTCATTCGAATTAAACTTTATTTATATATGCAGTGTATTTATTCATGAAGCTTTCATATTATACTATACAGACGCGAAACTTCTGATTTTCATGTATAAAAACAAAAAGAACAAAAATCGTCCAAGAGAAAAAAGTTCTGGGATATATGGACATAGTTATCAATAAAACCAGAATTATGTGACTAACTAGTATTTTCGATGTCACACAGAATTCAAGAATGCATTGCAGTTAAAGGCAAATGTATAGACTACTGAATTTTATTTAGCCATAATTTGTTCTATAATTTGTTCTATAATTTTTTATTAATTGTTTTATAAAATCCAAAACTTTGCTGTTGGACAGTTTTTGTTCTTTTTGTTTTACATGAAAATCAGAAGTTTTGCTTTTGAATGGTATAATTTGAAAGCTTCATGAAGAAATACACTTAACATATAAATAAAGTTTAATTCGAATGAAACATAACATTTTGGGAAACCATTCTTGAGTGTCCCAGAAATTTTTCCGGAGACTATACTATTAACCACTTGAATCTTTGTACTAGAAATTAAGATGAAGAGTTCTTCTATAGCACAATATTCTGTGATATGTGATTTATTTTATCTATTTCAATATTTGTTACTGATACATAACAGATTCCAGATCATATTGATTCATAAAACACTTGTACATTTGCATTTCTTTTCAAAGAATATATTCATTGCCATGTAATAAAAATCTATTATATAAAAGAAGAATGATGGAATGCTTCGAAAGTATAATGGATGAGAACCGTAGCACTGATAGAGTTATTTCTGTCTTTCTGTTTTAAAAGGTTTTTTTTCACTATTTTGAAGACAAAATAAACATTAAAATGTTCACTCGAAAGCTGCTACTCGATTATTTACATTTACCTGACAATGAATTCATATCTAATAACGCAATATTTCATCGTACAAAGAAACAATTCAAATTATGGTTTACTTTTCATGAAAAAAAGAGAAATTATTCACAGTAAATTTTCTTCCATATTTTCATTTCATTATGGTTGAAGTTTTTTCTCTGAATGTGCTTCCTTTATTATTTATAATTATTGTAGTTTTCGCAAAATTAGTGAAAGAAAAATTTTAACAAATAATTCTCTCTCATGATAATGTTTGAAATTAAGAATAAAAGAAACTTTCTATTTGTATTAATCAATTATGAAGAATGATTAGCGGGTGAGTGTGGGTGTGGGTGGGTGTGGATGTGGGTGGGTGTGGGGTGTGGGTGGGTGTGGGGTGTGCGTGGGGGTGTGGGTGTAAGTCTTCCCTTCACTCACACCCACACCCACATCCGCATCCACACCCACACCCACCCCTTCGAATGATTTTTAGGAAAATTATGGCTCTTCCTCTTTTGCCATTGTCTTTAGTCTTACAAGCTTTTGATGATCTATATGAATCACTTCTTCAAGTACCACCACAAAAGATTGATCTATTGAAACCTTTGTTTCAGTACTTTGAAAATCAATGGATAAAAAAAGTCGATTTAAAACAATAGAATGTATATGGATTAGAAATCCGCACAAATAATAATGCTGAGGGTTTCCATCATTTTTCAGTACTTAGATATTTTATTCAATCTTACACATTTTTAGGTGTTCATAATCGACTCAATTCAAGATTATCTAAATCTCATCCAAATATTTGGACCTTTATTAAATGCATTCAGGGAGAAGAAAACGGGTTTAATCATTTGATGTTTCAAATGAAAGCCGGCCTTTCAACTCGACCAAAAACTGCTAAAACACAAGCTATACAACAAAGACTTGATANGAATAAAAATTTTAAAAAGTGATATCTATATATTGCGATGATTCCTATCTTTTTCTTATGTAGTTATATTTCATGTTTCGTAATAATGATCTATAGTTAACGATGTATTCAAGTTTTAAATAAGCATCTTTTTAGTCATCTATTCTACAATATCATCTTGCAGTGGTTTACCAATGGTTATTGATGACAAATTGGTTTGTCTTCTCGTATACTAAAGGGTGGTCCAAAAGTGTCGACCCCTCTCAGTAAATCGATGATATCTATGGCAAACTTATATGAAGTTATTGATCAAATTATGCCATTTTGTCGAGAAAGATTAGAGCTATCATTTGGAAAAAAATTATTCGAAATACATAAATCCATTGCAATCCTATGGTCGTTTTACTAATCTTGAGTGAAAATTTTTACGATTCATTTTTTGGAACAACAAAATATATTTGTAACGTTTTAAGCGATATATCGTATTCTAGATATTTTTACATAATTCGAGAGAGTTCGATAAGCTCTACAATAATATGTATGTTTACAAAACTTTTGATCTGATTTTGAATATGAAACTTAAAGGAAACCAGAAAAAAACAAGAAAAATTTTATGTATCAAATATTAAAGAGAGTAAGTTGACCTTTCAAAAGTTTTAGCTGGTTGACTGTTTCATCTAGTCAAGCAGCTCAGAAGAGGTATTTTCGGCTTCAGTATGTAACACTGCATCTCGAAACATCAATTGACAGTCGATCAGCTAAAGTTTTTGGAACTTATGCATACCAGCTCATGAAAGATATAAGATTTTTATTAGTTTGCTTGATTTCATTCGAGTTATATATTGAAAGCAGGATTGGAATTTTTCTTGATATTCATATTTTTGTAGAGCTTGTTGAACTCTATCGAACTATATAAAAGTATCTATTACAAACATGTGGAAATAAATATTTGGCTCGGCTTTAACGGCTCAAACATTAAAGATTTCTTTGTTTTTTTCACAAAATGTAACTTAAAAATTTTCACTCAAAATTAGTAACTTAAAATGACCATAGGATTGTAATAGATTAGTGTATTTCGAATTCTCTGTTTTCAGATGATAGTTCTAATTTTCCTCGACAAAATGAAATAATTTGATCAATAACTTCGTTTCAGTTTGTTATAGATATCGTCGATTTACTGAGAGGGGTCGAAACTTTTGGACCACCCTTTAGTTTGTCTATAGGAAAATCGATGAATCATAAATTTCTCGATTTGGATCATCATTATGCAGAGAGGCGCAAGTACAGATACAACTTCTACCACTCGGCTCACAGCTAACTATGTACCATCATGTACCATCTTGTATCGGATCCATGTATCCATATGGTACAAAATGATAAATGCCAGGTGTGGGTGTGGATGCGTTGGTGAACAACAGTCACACCCTGATGGTATTATATCGATACATGGGCTTGATATAAGGTGATACATGCTGGGTGTGGATGTGGATGTGGATGTGGGTATGGGTGTGGTTGTAGGTGTTGGTGCAGGTATGTGGCTGTGAGTGTTACTCTTGCCTTTAACTACGCCCACACCCGTGACTAGAGATCAGTGGGGACACTTTAACCCCGGGATCCTCGACCCCGCCGATGTTGAGGTGGGGCGCTGGCTGAAAACAATTTTCGAGACCGGGGCCGGGGTCCTGAATATCTTAGGATACTCCTCGAAAAATGTTTTTTTTTTCTCACATAAATTTATTTAGTTTCACAGTTAATTAAAGAGTAAACAAACGAAAACGAAAGACAAAGATATCTGATAGTCAGAATTCAGAGCTTCACTAAAAAAGAGAATCTAGATGGATGCGATTGTGAGTGCTGTCAGTCGATTGAGTGTACGTGTGCTTGTACAGAAAACCAAACACACATCATACCGACGTTCGTACCAATACGTCACGCACCCTCACATCCTCACCTACCACTTGCATCCACGTATTTAACAGAATCATCTCATTTTTCTTATAAGCATCCTCGAGTTATTTTCGTTTTTACACACAAACGAAGAGAAACGAACGAGAGAAAGAGCAGGAAAGTATACCTTGTTTTTTTTACAATCTATTCCGATAGACTGACTAGCAATCAAAGCTTGTCTATATTTCTCCGTCAATATAATGCCGCCCATATTAGATGGCAGTTATTTGTGAGAAAAAATCGGGGCTGTTTAGAGTCGGGATCAGAGAGAAATAAAAAATATATTCGGATTTCAGAATGGGCTTCGGCACTAAAAAGTTTCACCTCGCTGATCTCTATCCGCCACACCCACACACGCCCTCTTACTCAAACCACATAAATTCAATCTTTCGTTTCAATGCATCTCTAGCATATCCGTTTTCTCTAGGAAAACGCGTTCATAAAAAACGAATTTTTCAAGACACGCGCAGCAAAAGAAAGGCGTTTTAACGTGTTTGTTTAAGGAGATTTCGTTTTTTACTTATAAAACGTATTTGAATACATGTCAAAAAAAATTGTTCGAATGCATAATATTAAACGCGTTCGAACCATGTTTTTGGTAGCGTTTGTTGGGGAGAAAAAAATGCATTTTCTTGTCACGTGTTCAAACGTTGTTTTCAGTTGACATTTTAATTTAAAAAAACGCGTTGCAAATAAAAACGATGTGTTTCAACGCATTGTGAATTGACAAGAATGCGGTTTCATGCGTTGAAAACAGAGCAGGACACGTTTAAACGCAAAAATAGCGTTTCTTTTTCTAAAAGTTGACGTTCAAACGCAAGCTTTTATAACTTTTTTTTCGAGGGAAGTCCGATGATCAGGAAGTTCTTGAGATCAACTTGCCTCTTTCAGTTCATCATCGATCTCTCGAAACGTGAAAGCGGCCTCACGAGTTTCATGATCATCGGACATGACACAATCAGGCATCTTTCGCAGTGACACATCAGCTCAAACTCATATCACTGATAGTGCCAGGTGTGGGCAGTACAAACGTCATAAAAAAGACTAAGACTAAAGCATGGAAAGAGGAACACTGCGAAGCATTCTTTTCTGAAGTTGAAAAAAGACTACTTTTCGTGTTTTAGTCGAAAGAGATAACTTTGAACAGTATCTGCGAAATTTATCTGTACAAGCAAACAACTTCACAGTTATATCTATCGTCTGAAAAAAAAACAGTTGATTAAGTTTGATAAATAGTGAAGCTATACGAATTTACTTTTTTCGGAGACTTTTGGAACACCCTGTATATGAAGTTGGTTAACATTAGTTAGATTTGTAACCACTTATCTAGATTCCCTGCGAAAATATAATTTTTATGGGATTAACGATAAAATCAATTGAAAATTGTCATTGCATTTATTTTAATAGAAAAACGGAATGCTTACTCAGTCTCTTATGGCTTGTTTGTGAAAATTGTTTGCCATCTAATTTTTAAAAGTATTTCCAGATGTATAATTTCGACCAGAACTATCTCTGTGTTACTCGGAATTTATTGTCTCTATGCACTTATATATAAAAAGCACCGAAAAATGCCTTGCTCTAAAATTTGGTTGTCAGAATTGCTAGAGTGAGGGTCTACAGCGGGATCCGGAATTAACAGCTAGACCAGAAGCAGCCTGATCAGGAATCCATACTCCTATTGGAAACGAAGCAATATGGTTCGTATTCTAGTGTCAGAATAAAAACACCGAAAACATTGCCTGGGACCACTAGAAACGGCAACCGAATTCTGATATCCTTCCAGAGCCAGGAAGTAGCAAGAAGTGCACTGCAACCGGCAGATGGAAACCTTTTTGGCATCCTGTCGCCAAAATTCGATGGAAAATACGAGATACGGCTGTTTTCGGCCGTACACATTTGACCTGGGTAGTGAGAAACAGAAAAAATGTAAGAGAAGGAAAAACAATAAAAATTCTGAGTAAACAACAGTGACAAACCTGGCTGAATGAAAGTAAAAATAAATTGTTGTGTTTGGGTGCTACTGTTATTTATATGACTTACTCAGTCTCTGTGAGAGAATCAACAGAGCTCTCACCGCACAACTGATAGGAGAAAACGCAAAACAACAAAAATGAAAGATAAGGTGAAACTATGAGAAGTGTGTTAATGTGAGTGCGGTTGTGAAAGTATTGCGATGTAAAATTGTGGCTACTTCTAATGGCTTTCATTGTAAAAAGAACCACCGCTACAGCTACATAAACGCACAAACTACAAAGAACAAGCATCCACCGGACACCTGCCGAAATCGACACATACAAACAACCACTTTCGCATTCTCATGTTTCACATTTCAATCCTACAGAGATTGCACTAAGACCTTTTCAACAAGGGTGCTATTTTAGATGATGGTATTCATACATGGCTGATGGGCACATATGGAGGGTTTGGGTGTGGGTGCTGTGCTTGTGGAGTGTGCGCGGGTGTGCATGTGGGTATGGGTGCGGGTATAGGTACGAGTTTTTCTTTCATAAACACACCTACACACATACCCACACCCCACATCCACACCCACACCCACACCCACACCCACACCTACACCCACACCCTACCCTTTTTCTTATGCATTTTTTGTTTTTGCATTTATATTTGTTATATATGATTAATATATCATTTGATGCAGTGAAGTCTGTACTTTCTCCCTATATACTCATTATTAAAACAAAAGTAAGCTATAATAGTATAAAGTCGGAAATACGTAGGGGGAGGAGGGGGAACCAATTGAATTGCACTGTATTTCGACAATACCAGAGCATTTCTTTGGAAAAAATGATTTAGTATCAATCAAAAATTAATTCAATAAAGAATATTTACCAACCAACTACATAATCAGTATGAATTTCGAAGAAAAATCGAAAAAGTATTGCTCATCCTTGCGTACTGTTTTGATAAAAGTAGCAAAAACCTGATTTTTTGCGGTTTTTGACTTTCATGCACAACTTTTTCTGCTCTTTAAATATTATAGATCGATAGCGCATAAAAAATTAAGTACACTGACAAAATTTGACATTGTTTGGAGCCTCTTTCATGAAATGGCTGAAGTCTAAAAATTGCATATAATATAAAAATAATCAATTTTGGGCCCCCTAATGTCAAAGTATAGACAAAATCGATATGTATAATTAATTTTTTTTTCATTTTCTAATAAAGCATATGTTTTTATGTATATAGTATAAATTTCTCGGAGATCTGAAGGATCAAATGAATGATGACGTGGCAAAAAGCTGAATTTTCAGTCATAACAGTCATCTCGAAATGTTAATGCTTTTTAACTAGGAATACACTTATGGGCTTTCTAATGCTGATATTCATAATCAGCAGACTCGACTCTATCATTGAGTATATGTTTTGTTCGAATCAACAGAAAAAAAAATTTCGATATGCCTGAGGGGACCATATGCCCCAAAAAGTTTTTTTGAGCTATCCCAAAATTGAGCTATAAAATATAATCAGGACCTACCCCTAATTCCATTCTAATAAAAAAATCCCGATTTTATTAGGGGCGAGAAAATGGCCTTATCCGCCCTCATCCTTTATAAGTGCATGTATTCAATCATCAGCATCTGGTAATAACGATTCGAATAAGGATACGATTGTCAATGAAGAAAAATGGTCTGTAATGACCATACGTGATCCATTTCTTCTACGTTAATTTTGTGATGATGTCGCATTTACAGGTCCAGTAAGTGAAATTAAAGAAGAAGAAGCTGAAATGCGCCGTGCTGATTAAGTAATTAAATGCGTTCGATGTAATGATTTTTATCTTGAACAAGATAATAAGATGAGTGTTTGTGTATATCATGATGGATTTTTTTATGATAATCATTCACTTACACTTACACAATGGGGTCAACAAGCTGCAATAGCACAGTTGCTGAAAGAAGAAGCAGAAGCTGTAAAACAGTCAGCAACAAATGGTTTGACACCCGAACAAAAAGAACGTTAAAAGCAACGTTTTTAATATATTTGCTGTAATCAGACTGTACAAGCTTCGGGTATGATGGGCGGTTGCAAACGAGGAAAATACAGTCCAGCCAATGTTACACTCATTCAATGAGAATATTCATGTGATCATAATAGAGAATATCAAGATAAATGATTGACTTTACTTAAAAGCAGAATTCAATAGTTCTTTTTTTTATTTTTTTCAATTATGTAAATACATTGCGATTTCTTATCTATTAAATGATTCTAAATTTTGCACAGATCATAAAATGAAGAATTTATTTAGACTATTCGAAACATAATAGTTACAATATACATTATCTTGATCAATCATGCCAATCTCACGAATAGTGTCCTAAGAGCTTCTAAACTTCGCGTTGATAAAGCCAAGCAACATTTAAATTATGAAGTTTTAACTATAAATCAAATGAAGCCAGATCTAAAACGAAAAAAGGATTTTTCATAAATCCAAAAATATTCAATACAATGTATAGAATTGTCAAGATGGATGTGGGTGTGGCTGTCTTTTGTTTATTCACACCACACACCTACACCCTTTTTATTTTTAAATTGATGATATTTACATAGAAGTAATGAAAATTCTTTCAAAATATATATATCGATTTAATAATTGGTTTTTATTGTATTCTTTCAAACTTTTGTATACGATAGTTATATGTATCTGTGACATATAAATTCATTTCTGAATCAAATGCCACATCGCGTGGATAATATAATTCATTACTACCATTACCGATTTGTCCAGTACCTGCAATTGTTATACCATATACAGCATATGGACAAAACATTTGTATTCGATGGTTAGCACAATCAGTAATATATAAATTACCATACTTATCAAGAGTTAGACCTTGAGGACTGTTTAATTGAGCTGCACTATTACCAGGTCTGCCAGGAATACCAGCATATATATTTTTATTTCCATATGCCTCAAGATACCATTGTGTTACTGAATGGGATTCTTCGTTTGATATATATAAGATATTATTTGGTTCATCTAAATATAAACCAGTTGGATTATTTAATTGATATGGATTGAGGCCTGCACCATTACCACCCTAGAACAACAACAAATGATTTACTATTTAAAATATAAAAGTATGTAAAATCATTGTCGTATTGTTCCCTGATGTAGTCATTTCAGCTATTCTTCTTCATTTATAAACTAAGTATAAAACATTTTTCATTCATCATAGCTCAGACTAGGGAAATGTTAGATGTGTTTCTTTTGTTGCCAACTTTTATATCTTTTTTCACGTTATATTATTACTTCTTTTATAATGAATACTATCCCATGTCGTGAAAATCGTCGTAAATTTGGCGATTTCCAAAAAGATTAACATAAGATCGTGGTTAAACGTATTATGTTGAAAACTCAGCGATAGAATCAGATTCAATCGCGATATTGATAAAAGAATCGATTAATCGAAATCGTTGAAAAATCAGAATGATTAAATATAATTCTTCGTTATTTTTCTTATACAAGGAAATGCTTCCTGAAATAATTATTATTTTAATACATATACACATGAAAATGTATATTAAATATACGAGATTCTTATCTTGGAAGTGTAATTCTCACATGATGAAAGGAAATCTATTTCTGCTATTAATATCACTAGCATAGCATTCACTTGCTTGGACAATCGTCATAATCACTAACGTTGCATTAATTTCTTTGTATTCACTTGCATTAGTGTCTATTTTAATCTGGTGTATATTCTTGTCTATAAATATCCTTTACCTCTCCTTAACGATGTCGACAGTAATATTACAGTCATTTAAATATTATTAACTCATATATTAGTCAATATTGCATAGCTGATTACCATAAACATTATTATCACTTTATATCTAATTACTCTATTTTCTTTTTTTTTTATAAATTGGACATGTCTAACTTTTAAGTACAGTGCATTAGTCGATGCCATCTTTTTCTAGATTTATGATAAAATATGTTTAGACGATTTTATCTTGTAAATAACAATGACGATTGAGAATTAATCAATACAAACGACATCATCTACACGACATAGTCTCAATATACAAGCAAAAATTGAATCGTTCTAATGATTATACCAATGAAAAACTCTTAATCTCATGATATTCTATTTTTCTGATGCGTGCATTTTTTGTAATAGTTTTTGATTATTAGTCATGTTTTTTATCGTTTATGTTTATATATATATACTTGCTATTATAGTATTCCTAACCACATTAGATCACATTTGGTTCGATTAGTATGTCATATCTATACATCGCGAAGTTTATTTATTGGTCGTAACTGTGATCTCTTTGTTATTTGCCTTTGACATGTGTTCATTACGTTAATTGTAATGTTTTATTTTTGATTTACTTTGTTCTACGTGATGAGTGAAATTTGTTAAAAACTTGAAGATATTATATTATAATTTTTATGCAGTTCTTTTTTATCACTTTTACTTTTTACATGATATAAACGATTGATATTCTTTGAAATAAAAAAGAACTGAGAAAAATAGATCTAATCAATCAAAACAAAGTAAAATCGCTGGTAAATCGCAATTTTGTTAGGCTTGACCTGCGATTAATCACCAATTTTTTAGCGATTTCGAGGACATGGGGTCTCATTTTGAAGAAAAACTATAGAATAGAATCTCGTTCAACGATGATAAAATCCATAACTTACTGCTATAATTGTGCCAATAGATGTTTTTGGATCATATGTAGGCGGCCATCTTGTTATACGTTCATTTTGCAAATCGGCAACTATTATATTTTTCTTTGAATCAAGCAAAACTCTCATTGGATAATTGAATTCATTTAATGCTGAACCGGCAGTTCCAGTCCCAGCAACAGTTTTTCCACGTTTAGCATTTTTCTCCCAAAATTGAATTCGTTCGTTCCCTGCATCAACAACGAAAACATTCTCATTTTCATCTGCAAAAACGTCTCGTGGACCGTTTAGTTTATCTGATGTTGATCCACTGGAAGCATTAGCTTGACCTGCAGCTGTTTCTATTTCACCATTTGGATAGCGTTTTTGTACACGATTATTGGAAACATCAGCAACATATAAAATTTGTGTTTTGGGTTCGATAAATAAACCTTGAGGAAATTGTAATTGATCTGGACCTGAACCATAACCATTGCCGATGATTGTTATTCCTGTTGTACTCCATTTAAGATTACCTGGGCCTAGAATTTCAACGAAAATATTTGAGTTTATTTCTCCTTCTGTGATATGAACCAGGTTTTAATATATGAATAGATGTCAACTATAAATTGGCGTGATGGATAGTTAAATAAATCTTTTAATTTTTTATTTCCAATAATCCTGTTAAACGTTTGCTACCATTACTTTTTAAAATTTTCTCAGAGAGAAGCGAATCTAATAAAAGTTTAGCGATGAATATATATATAGATAGATATTGGGAACTAAAGTCAGAGGCTAGAAATGTATTTCCAATGCAGCATGCTCATTGAAATTTACAGAGCCTATTTAAAATCATGTCATTGTGTGAGAAACAGGTGATATAGTACGACCTATGATGTCGATTGAGGTCAAGATGAAAGTTTAAAATATTTAGCGATACAGACTCTAGCTAACTTAATATCCACTTACAGTCACTGGATTGTTTATACACAGATTGACCTGAAACAGAGAAATTAAGTTATATTTTTAAAAATTTATCATGCACTTGCCATTATTTGTTGCAGTTATCCTGAAAAAAAGTACAGTAGAATATTCATTGTATACCTCTAATAGATTAGGCAATTTTCATATTTATATAATAGGGTATATTTTGAACGAAAGCTTTTATTCATAGTTACATTCATGATAAGAGATATGGAATGTTCGAATTTCATATTGGATCTATCTTTAGAGCTCATATTTGTCTTTAATACTTACGCAAATAAGCACAATAAGTAATGTAATATCATTCTAATGGTCTCGTTTTTTATAGTTATTCATACAGCAATGACAAATATCTGCGTTTCTCACACCTTTTATATTTTAAATTTTTCCTTATCTATGCATCATCATTTACCATCAGCATATTTTTAAAACAACAATGACAGTGAGAAAAATGATCTAACTAGGTTAAACACTGCATAGAAAAAAGAACATATATATTTTCACGAAATACTATTCGATGTAAATGTAATAATAAGATTGAAGAAAAGTGTCTTGATTCAATGTATGTAACATTTTAAATAGTTGAAGAAAACCATGTTTTCAAGCAGATTTTTTACTGATAAACAAATTGCATGATTGCGTGACAGACGGTAAATAATTTCTGAGTAAAAAGAATTTGTTATTTCTTACAACAATATGTGTATGTTTCTTTCCTTCGTTGTCTTTCATCTAACTACACTGCATTCGTTTTGATTCTCACAGGTTCAAACAAACATTGATATCGACACTGATCATTTCTATTATGCAGTAAGATTTTTCTTAGAATGAGATTCCCACCAGATAGACAAAATATCATATAAAACGGTGTGGATCAGTTGGGGATCTTGCATCGTTAGTAAGATCTTAATAAGTAAAGAATAGAAAGAGTTGAGTAACAAATTGTAGAAGCATTTTTCCAGCTTTGTAAACTCAAGAGTACTATTATTCAACAAGCCAAACTGTAAGCGTGACTTTTATAGTGATTTTTTTCACTTTGAACTAAAGTTAAATAATTTGCGTAGCGATGAATTCTTGAACAAACTATTTACAAATAAACTTTTAAAGAAATTGTATTGATTCTAAAAATATTCACTTTTTCCTACTTCAGTAGCATTGAGGTACTGTACATGAGCAAAGGACCAAACTAAAAAAGAGCAAGTTGAAACTTACAGTAGTCGCAAAGAGTACTGCTTCTGGTTTACGTCACTAGCGATTAGATGTTGTGTTCACTGAGCAAAACACCAAGGGTGTGGATGTTAGTCTTCTCTTCACTGAAACATATTCTCACACTCACACCCACTCACACCATCTTGTCGAACCGAAACAGTGCAAATACATGGGTAATCTGTCTAAATGTTAGAAGAAAATCAGATCAAAACTGCTGAACACGTAAAATGTACTAAAACATGATGAATAGATAACCGTACAGTATTCTTTAGACACTAAAAGCAGAAAAAAATATTTAGAGAAAAATAAACAAAATTTTGATTCTACAAGTTCAGAATAGAAAGATGAAAAGCGATAGTCGTATGATTGCATTAATGGGTTAGAGAGAGAGAGGGAAAGAAATGATTTATCATAAGAGACTATAAACTTCTTTGTCATTCTTAATGAAGATATTCGTAATTTACACTTTCTGTATTCTGAATTTTGAGATATATATGTTAATTCGAACTTTAGAAACAGAAATAACTTAATCCATTACCTTCCACATGGCGGCTCTTCGACATCTACCAGCAAGCTCATCACTAAAACGAAGATTATTATTCAAAAGGGTAGTCTGTTTTTCTGTAAACAAAGCTTATTGATGAAGGCAATATAAGAACAATGTTATTTAAACGTTACTTTGGCAAATACAATAAATAAAATAGAATAATGTATAATGCAAAAGTTCTCAGAAAACTGTTGAAGTCTGTTAGACTATACTACTGACTTCTAAACCAATTAAATTTTCTTTTGTAGAAATTAGTAATCTCTGAAGTAAAAATTTTGTACTCGACATATTTTTCCTGAGTGAATCTTGCAAGGAAGAAATGCTAAAAACTGAGCACTTCTAGATTTGTTGTACAACTTCATCATCGCACAACATCATTTTGTATTTCTATCGTTTTTTTAAATTAGAAGAGTGAGAAAAACAAGTTTAGTGATCACTTTTGTAGCATATTGTTCTTTGCAATGGTGTATTGAAAATTAAATTTGTTCTTGGTTTTCATACTCAAATGTTACTTTCTCTGAAAGAAGCTGAATAATTTAATCATTTTCCTGATGCGATCATTTTGCAACAGTGAAAAAATATTTTTTTGAACTGCTTTTTCTGCTAATTACCTATAATTTAATGTATTTTGAACAAATAATACGAAAAGAATTGAGCTCAACTATGGTTCCTGAAGATGATGACTGATGGTTTTGTAAAAGACTATTATAGAAACATTTCATTTTTCAAACCACTTTGATTCAAGAGTCAAGAACGAATTAAAGAAATATTCACAAAGCAAATGCGATAGAGTTGGAGTTGTGAGTACTAGAGAGCTGCAAAATGGGTTCGAGCGGGTCTAGACTCTAGACCCGCTCGAACCCATTTTGCAGCTCTCTAGTAGGTGCCGATATACCCTAATCAACATGCACACCCATCCACAATACTAGAAACTTCGCACAAGGTCTAGTGCGCAGATGTCCTTCCCAAACAAGCAAATCTACTAACGACGACAACAGACATAGAAAACAAAACAACACCAATTACCTACTAAAACACAGCCATCTCTAATAATAACGATGATTATACTGATTGAACATTTGGCTATATAAATCACCTTTTTCTTGTGTTCGTTATAAATAAACCATGAGTAACAGAGGAAAAATGCTTTAGAATTACACTAATTCAAAGTCAAGCTTACAACGAGCCAATCACTCTCAGCATAGATGCTGAAACCAGTTTTTTTTTCAATACACAATAAAACACTCTTCCACAAGATGTTTTATTAAAGCCGTCTGATGACTGTCTTAGCCGGCACGAAATCGAGATAATGATTACTAGACAAACATGCCGACCCACCCCACACCGTTGTTGTGATACGACCAAATTCTACTCACTTTCAAATTTTTCAAAAGAATTGAATTGGTACAAGTACCATCTAATGAACTTTGATGCTGGGGTGAAACGTTAACATTATGACTGCTCGATACATCCACACCCCACAAATCGCTCACAATTTCTTTCTCACACTGTCAAGGTTCTTTTTATATATTCGAAGAATCTGATGATTTGAAGGTAGTGAGCGTCTTCCGATATCCACAGCGCGTTCGTAAAATGAGAGAGCTTTTGAGTAGTCTTCTAACTTGTCATATAATCCTCCTATATTGTTGTAGGAGTTTGCGAGATCTGGATGATTTGAATCGAAAATTCTTTGGTAGATGTCAATTGACTGTTCGTAAAACGAAAGTGCTTTCGAGTAGTCGCCCATATTAGCGAACAGCATACCCAGCTTGTTATAAGAATCAGCTAGTCCAATATGTTTTGAAGGTAGGACCATTTTTCGAATTTCTAATGCTTTCTCTTGAAATTGAAGCGCTTTCGAGTATTGTCCCACTTGATTAAGTATGGAACCAATGCTGCTGTACGATGCGGCAAAATCCGGATGATTTCGAGGGAGTATATTCTGGCGTATTATGCATGCTTTATCGTAGAAGGAAAGCGCATTCGCATACTCTCCTAAGTCGTAATGCACCAAAGCGATGTTGCTGTAGGTATCAGCCAGATCGGAATGATTGGAAGGCAGTATTTTCTGCTGAATCTGTAAGGCTTTCTCGTGAAATGAAAGTGCTGTTGAGTGCGCTCCCATGTTTCTATGCACCAGACCTAAGCTTGTGTAAGATGCAGCTAAACGAGGATCGTTGGAGGCAAGATGTTTTTCGTATGCATTCATCGAATTTTCATAGAACGAAATCGCCGCTTTGTAATCTCCACTTTCATTTTTTAACATTCCAAGATGATGATAAAGATTGGCTTTTTCAAGTTCATTAGTCTTTTGCCCTAGAAGTGTCATGTATATAGACTCAGCCATGCTAAATTCGCATACTTTTATTAAGAAATTACCCAACCGATGCTGTTCTGTCGGTCCATATATTTCCTTTCGCATTACTTCAGTGAGAAAGCTCAAATAGCCGTCATTGTTTTTCGTCATTCTAAGATCTACTTGATACACAAGAGGTTTTTGGTCGATTTGTTTTATGTTTTCAACTCGAAAGACGCTATGCGTAGTAAGCAGGACTTCTTCTTCCAATTTGAAATAACTGTGATGTTGAATCGTTGCAAATGGAGTCGAGGAGATCGATGGATCAGCGATAATAACAAATAGGACCCCCACATAAGATGTTGCATTTGCGGCATCAGCTGCAAAGTAAAGTGAATTTTTGCGATGTGGACTGGTCGATAAAAAATTATTAAACGATAAATATCCGCCTATGCTGTTTCTTAATCTTTCAAAGTCTGTCTCTCGCAGTCCTTGGCCACGGTAAAGCGTCAATAATGTCTTTTGATCATTCTTGAACTGTTCCGAGTGCAGTTGCACAAGCTGCTCGTGAAGATCTCGTATAAAAAATCCAAACTTGATGATTGCTTCAAAATCTAGCGTGCGCAGTGAACGGTTAATCATTTTGTACACAAAACACTCGCGAGTGTACCACCAGGTGGCTTGGTCACTACGGTACATTTGTTCAAATTCTTTGATTATCTTCAACTCGCGGTCATTGTCGACATACGCTTGGCTACAAAAAGCGGCGAGTTCCTTAATGGATGTGTCATCACATTTCAGTTCAAAAATAATTTCTTTGAATAGAAGTGTGTACATGTAATTTTGAGTTATAAAGTCGGTATTCTGATCCAACGTGTTAGTTTTTAGAATGACGGAAGTTTCGATAGAGTTCTTCTCAGTTTGTTTCATAGCAGTTTTGATTGATTCGCAAATAGAGGCAATATTTGTATGAACGCCTTTTATTTTCGACCATTGTTTTGTCCATTGTTTATGCTTTGTCTTGCTTCCGCAAAAGACAAAAATTGAATCGAGTTGTGGTGCATTATGGATGCGTGCGATGATTATTTGACCAAGTGATCCTGACACCAGTATAAATACCTTTTTGTTTTTGATTGTACTTAAGTAAGTGATACATTGTTCGGCATCAATGAAAGTTCTGATGTTATTCAAAACGCTCTTTAATTGACTGATTGTATCACGGCAATCTTGATTCGATTCGTTGATGCTTGAATCGAGCCAGACAAGAAGAAGATCTAGATGATATAGATATTCAAGAACCAGCACAAAAGCAAGATACATTATTTCTTAAGAAAAGATAGGCTTCGTACGAACTTGAAAATGAGTCACGAAGCTCTTCATTGAAAAATAGCAAATCATGGTAATCTAAGAACGATATTGTGAGATCCTGTTTCAATGACCAGTGTTTTCAGATTTGGGAAAGTATTTAGTTTTAAAAATTTTTAAATGAACTATTGAGTGATGTAAATTCTTTTGTTCCTCCTCAGCATAGAAGCTTATTGTGCTCCTAGTCAGTTTTGTAAGTCAGAATTTTAAAGGTAGATTTTCATTGTGATCAACTATTTTGTGTTGTAGCTACGCATAGATTTGCTTAGAAGCACAAAAGTGCACAGAATTTGATATATTGGGCTTTAAAACTGTCCGAAAGCATGGATATTAGCTATGATAGTTACTGACGAATAAAAAACGGGCTTGTATACTTTTCCAGTTTCTTGTTATCAGGTACTCTGAGCAAGGTGTTTATTACACTACTTTTTTCTTTCACGCATTTATCTGACATCAATACTCTGCTGATCTTCATACGGATACATTAAATCGTCCTTATTACGATATTTTGATTTTAGAAACTATCGAGTCTTGGAGGAGTTAAGAAAAAATTTCCATAAAATATGTACCGATAAAACTCTATCAAGTATAGTCATTTTAAAAGCTAATGTAAAGTTCAGAAACGCGTGAACTTAATGTTTCAATTATCTTGGTAGAAGTAAAAAATAATTTTACTACCGAATGAGGGTTTCTCATTTGTATGAAATAGGTAGTTCAGGTCCTATGGATGTTTCAATAATGGATATCGTGCTCGGATTGTACTGATACTTGATTTTGAGTGCGAAATCCTCTCGCTTAATTTCAATAGTCTATTGATCAATTTTGTGTGATGTTTTTTTCTGACTGAAGATTTGTCTATATTTCTGTCACCTCAATAAAAACTTACATCACTAACTTCCATATTGTTTGTACTGCCCCATAACAGGAAAAAGCTGAGCAGAATTGTATTAAAGTACGCTCATT